ATTGGGTAGTATTTATTGTGTCAGTATAAAATTGTGCCATATGAGTTTGTGTGTTTTTTTTTAAAGATACAAACTATAGTAGTTAGGGTAAAAAGTATTATAATGACAGTAACTTTCAAATAATTCAAGAAATCATGTACATGTATATAGAGAACAGAATTTCTTATCAGCATTATTGACATTTTGGAGGTAATTGTTGTTTTGTGGTGTTTTGCGTTATAAAATGTTCAGGAGAATTCTTGGGCTATCCCCACTAGATACTAGTATCGTCACACAGTCATGACAACCAAAAGTTTCTCCAGCTGGTTGGGGTAATGTATCCTTGTAGTCCCAGCTACTTGGGAAGCTGAGGCAGAAGGATCTGAAGTTTGACTCAGCCTGGGCAACTTAGCAAGACCCTGTCTCAAAAGACAACAAAACAAAACAAAACAAAACAAAGAGACTGGGGATGTAGCTCAGTGTGAAGGCCTTGGGCTCAATCCCCAGTAACACACACACACACACACACACACACACACACACACAAACCCTCCAGACTTTGTTGGATGTTGTTGGGGTCAAGTTAGTACTGATGAATACTGTACAGATATAAAGATATAAATGTAGATATAGATGTAGACATAGATATAGATATAGAAATAAGGATATTTACCTGTCTGTTTTTTAAAAACATTTTCATAGTAAGTTAAATAAATAAACTGGGTTTCACTGAGTATGACTAGAAATGTATGATCTCTATCCAAATTTATATGAAGGGCCAGAAAAGTGAGATTCCGTACAGCACATTTGAAGTCAATAATTTATGAAAATGTATTAGGTTTCTTATAATATACTACCACAAATTTAGCAGCTTAAAACAATGCTCAGTTATTCATACCCTGGTCTCATGGTTCTGCAGGCCACAAGTCCAGGGGTAATGTGACTAAGCTGACACACTGCTTCAGGTTTCACAAGGGAGAAGGCAAGGTGCCTCCAGGACTGAGTTTCTTTTTAGAGCTTTGGGAATGAATTGGCTTCCAGACTGTTTTGGGCTATTGTCAGAATTCAGTTCCATGAATTCAGTTGATGATGCAAATCTCTGTTTCCTTGCTGGCTGTTGACTCTGGGCTGTTCTCAGCTCTTGGAGGCTCCCTGTGTTTCTTAGATCATGGCTGTCCTCCCATCTTCAGAGCTGTGGCAGTGGGTGGAGACCTTTACTTGAAGTCTCTCCAGCTTTGCTCTTCTGCCTCCTCTCTTCTCCTCCCTGTTTTGCCATATCTCACTGATTCTTTATTTCTGCTTTTAAGGGCTGATATAATTATGTTAGTCTCCCAGGATAATCTCTCTGTTTCAAAGTCATCTGATTAGTAACCTTAACTTCACCTATAAAGTCCCTTTCTAACAAGTCCTGGATTAGTGTTTGATTGAATACCAAGGAATAGGAATCGTGGGAGGCATCTTTAGACTTCTGCCTCTACCACAAAGAACTATAACTGAATGCTAACAAAAAAAAATCATTTCCTAAAATATTTTCTTTCCCATTGCTATTAGGGTTAAAGTTAGTACCAAAGAATAGATTTTATAAGGGAACTGTTATTGTAGTTATCATTCTGGCAGTTACTGTGGAAAGAGTTTTAGATATTTGTGAAAGCAAGGAAAATGCAAGTAGCTATCATTAGAAATATTTGTTTTTATAATAGAAACTATTCTTAAATCTTTTATATGCTATACAGACCAAAGAAAGAGTGGGAAAATACCACGTTATGAACTCTGAGAAAAGGTCTTTAAAATGTATTCAATTTCTTTCTATTGCTATAATCAATTGAAGTTGACATTCTTTACCCCTTAAAAGTACGTGATTGGTTTATATTAATGTGTTAGCTACACCAATTTCCATTATAACTGATCACGTAGAACTAAAATTGGCACTAACGAAGACAAAGCCTGTTTATCACCCTGGTCTTATCTCTTATTCCAGGTATATACTCCAGGTATGCAATATTGTACACATAGTTTTACATACATTCAAAAATATATTTGTAACCACTCCAGGATACTGCATTCTAGTAGGCCATGCTAAACACAGTCGTCATTCTTTCACATGCTCTTACTCTTTATGTTTTTGTCCCCACCCTTACCTGATTTTTACTCAACATCATCAGAGTAAAGATCTTTCCCATCTGTCAGTCCCCACTTGGCAGCCCTCCTTTCCCCGTTCCCTCTGGGTCCTGTGGTCTGTACTTTCAGCTGCTTTTCTTTGCTCACTTACACCTCGTTGCTTGTTTAACTTCCCTTCATTTATGGGAGCCTGACACTCCCATACTTTCCTTTGCATCATCATCTTCTTTCAGCCTCTCTTTCCCCAGCATGCCAGCCTTCTCCTGCTTCTCATCTTATATAGCCTCTTTGGATAATTTTATCTCCTCACAGGCTTATACAACCATACAAGTACTAACAGGTCTCAACTCAGTGTTACAGGTTCAGATCACTCCCCTAGCATATTACTTCTGCATTTCTAGCAGTGTACCTGTTATCTACCTCTAGATAGCACTTCATATTTAATATATCCAAACCTAAACTCCTGGCCACCAAACTTACATCTTTTCCCATTTCAGTTAGTGGTTCTCTCCAGTTACACAAGAAAGGAATTTGCTCAAGTATTTCTTAGCTATTCCTTCTTTTCTCAACCTCATAGTTAATCCCTCTGCAGGTCCTAGAGAGTGCATCTCCCAAATAATACATGAGTGCATCATCTCTTCATTAGTCTTCCGGTACCATAATCCACATCTTCATTTGGTCTTATTAGGCCCCCTAAAATAGCATAATCTACCCCTTTCAGATCTGTCTGCCATCTACCATGCTTCAGAGTAATCTTCTCCAAAATACATATTTGAGCAGGTCTGCCTCCCTGCTGTGACGTCTTTCAGTGGTTTCCCATTGCCTTTAGGAGGCCTTGCACAGTTCTAAACATTTCATTTCTGATCCTTTCCTATCTTGCCTTTTCATTTCCCTCACTATCACAGCTGGCACCATTTGCTCCAGCATTTCTGGAAAATTAGCTTCCCAGATATACCTCATTCTCTCTGATCTGTCAGCCCGTCTGCCCCATCTTTTCCACTTTGCCCTAGAATTCCCTTCCTCCAGTGCACCCTGCGTACCTGCTCACCAGGTTTGTCTTTTTTATTTATCGTTTAAGTCTCAACTCAAAGAGGAAGTAACCTTTCAGCAATCCCTCCCTAACACCCTACTGGTATAAAAATATACCTCATCTGTGTCCCAGATTGTGAGCAAATTATACATGTCCATCCTTTCTTTCTTTCTTTCCTTCTGGGACTCGAACTCAGGACCTTGTGCTTGTCAGGCAGGCGCTTTGCCGCTGAGCTATATCCCCAGCCCTTACATATACTCTTCCTACAGCACTTAACATATTGAAATGTCATTGGGTTTTTCTTGTCTTTCTTCTGCCCCAGGCCTTTATCTCCATGAGAGCTGAAATAGCAGTCTGTTCTTGTCCCCTATTCCTAGTCCAGAGCAGATGCTCAATAAATGTCTGTTGAATGAATAAATTGACTCAAACACTTGTAAAGATAAGGAGTTGTACAGAGGTAATTAGATAAATGTATCTTTAAAGGAAACTGTGCACATCCTGGGAGGTACATAAGATGCTGCTTTGGGGTACTGGAAGAGATTTAAGCTTTTATTTATTCCTACATATCTTATTAATACTGTAAACATTTTTGTAAGAATGTCTTCTGTACATATTTTGGTTTTTATTATAATAAGCACTTCCCCTCCTTGAAGAATCCATTCAAAATTATTATATAATTTTAACTTCTACTTTTTATACTAGATTATTATATTAATAAATTTATACAGACTATAAACAAACATGGTAGAGATTTATGTTTAGAAATTTTTTTCCTTGAGAAGATTGTACCATCAAAAAATATGAGGGCCGAGGGCAGTGCAGTTCATGCTTGGTATTATACAAGACCCTAGGTTCCATCTCCAGCACAAAAAAGAAAAAAGAAAAAAAAAATTGGAGATCACTGCTGTAAATAATGACTTCTAGCTCTGTTTGTTGATTGATCACATTTAGATAACACATGCTGTGCAATTTTTTAAAATGAGTTTTTAGCTTCCTTACACTATAATCGTCTGTTTTACAGTGTTTGATAGTTGCCTTTTTAACTTCACTAATTCTTTTGCTTAACTTGTTAATTTCAGATGATAACAACTCTGTTTTTATTCTACTTTGGGCAGTCTTTCTAGACTCTTCTCTTTTTAAGAAGGGGCATATGTGTTCCTTTTCATAACTGTTTTTCCTTCTTGTCTACTTCCCTCTTTCTGTCAGCTGCACTTTTACGTTGTCAGACTTAGTAACATCTATATGTCATTCAGTCACCACACCCAAGTCTCCATATAAACTGAACCCAAAAGATGAAAACTATAAACAGTGCTATATTGTAACTGATGAATTCTTCTATAAAAGAAACTCTGCCTTATGAACCAAGATCCATAGACTGTAGCTTATTTTTCCTTTGTTATGAGAAGCAAATAGAATTAACAGACCTTGACAATTGCTTCTCTTTTTTTGGTACCGGGAATCAAACTCAGGACTTTGCGCTTACCAGGCAGGTGCTGTGCTGCTGAGCTATATCCCCAGCCCCTGCTTCTTGTTATTAAGCACATTACTGCAACGATTTGTCCATCCCAGAAGCTACAACTATATATTTGCCAGTAGGGTCTTCCCTACCTCTTGGTCATATGATATTTATAAACTCCCTATCAAAAGTCCCTTTTTAGTTAGAAATCATGCTTGCTTTCTTTGACTTATTTCCATTAAAGAACAGTAACTGAAAACCTAGTTTTCTAGATCCCTAATAAACTAACAGTAATCTTTGAAATCATCACCATGGATGATAATTACTCCCCAGAGCAGTCCATTTACTCTTCTTATGGAATTATTACCTGGTTGTGCTCAGTTTCAGGAAAGAGGCATTTCTTTCATCTTCTGTTTCCCAAACCTAAGTGAACTGAACTACTTCTGGAGCACTGAACCACCTGAATAATGGAAATCATCCTCACCTTTGGGGAGAGAACTACAGGTAGGAACTGGGTGGCATTGGATGGTGTGTGTATAAAAAAGTAAATGGAGAATGGAACACTTGGGCCAGTCTTTCTCTTAGGGTACTGAAATTTGTGTCTTGAGATTAAACATATCAGTTAGTTCTGGCCTAAGATGAAGGACATCTCTAATTTTAGTACCCCCTAAAATACGATTCTATAAATACTATTTAGTGCAGAGCCAATCTGTATGCTAGAATTACATTTTCTTCTCTCTAGGGCCTGGGTAATGACCCCTGGGCTTTCAAGATTCCAGCATTAATAGCAACTGGACCCTCTTTTCTCATACTCCATCAGTCCTTTATAATCAGGGTGTATAAAGCTTGCTTCATATTTAAAATGTAGCTTTTGATGTTGTGCTTTTCTATCTTTCTTTTAAAAAACTTCAGGGAGTTTCTAGTTGCATTTGTTTTTTTCTGGCATAATATACACTTATCATAGACTGATTTTTCGATACTCTTGGTTGATTTTATTTTTTTCTTCAAGACAAGCTGTTGCTTGTAGTGTAGGCTGGCCAGTGTGATTATTTATCCATTGTGGGTGCCCTCTTTCTTTTTTGTACTCATTTTGAAATTCCCTGAGGAGCTGGATAGATGTGGGTCTTTTGGGTGCTATTGAGTCCTTTGAATCTTAAGGTCTTGCTTTCCTCAGCTCCTGGAAATTCTATGATTTGTCTGATAGTTTCTCTCTACTCTTTTCTCTGTTTCTTGTTTCTTCTTTCTAGGGCTTTTGTTAGTCAATTAGGGTTGGCTTTTTATGTCTCCTTTATTTAATGATTTTCATCTTTTCATTTTCATCTTTTTATGATTTGATTTTCTTAACTTCACTTTTCAGGTAATCTGTTGATTTTTCTTTCCATTTTATAATATTTTTAAATTCTAAGAAATTGTGGAGCAATTTGGGGGGATCATTTTTTAGGACAGGGTCGCACTGTGTACTTCAGGCTGGCCTTGAACTTGTAGCAATCCTTCTGCCTCAGCCTCTCAAGTACTGGGATTATAGACCTGTGCCACCATGCCCAGCTAACTTCCAAGGACTTTAAATTTGATTTTAAAAAATCCTTACAATGTGTTCTGCTTCTCTCCTTCCCTTTCTCCCCACTCCAGTGGACTGCATTACTCTGGTCAGACCACACCCACACTAGAAGCTTTGGCCTTCTCAGGTTGTTTATTCCTTCTGCTGTCTGGTTTTCAGCTGAGGGCTAGTGCCAGGCCTTCTGTGATCGGTGTGGGGCAGGGGAAGTGGATGAAGGTGCCAAGCAGTGCAGCTCCAGAAACAGATCTTCAATTATCCCTGCTGTCTTCAACCTCACTCCTCGCTCCTGCCCTCCCTTGTACCTATTGGCTCAGCGCCCAGAGCCATCAGGTGTTCCAAGGGGCAGATTGGCTCTCTAGATTCTTTCCCGCATTCCAGCAAGCAGTTTGGCTTCCAGCTGCTTTTAGTTTGCTGGTGGACTATTCTGGGTGTGGCTTTCTCAGCCTGCCTCATCCATCAACACAATGTAATTTGCTTTTTGAATCCTAGAAATTTGTTGGAATTTTATTCACTGTTGAATCTCCCATTTTCTTTTCTTTTTCCTGGTAGTAGGGATTGAGCCAAGGCCTTGCATGCGTTAGGCAAGTGCTGTACCACTGAACTGCATCCTGGCTGACCCCCTTTTCTTTTAGACAGGATTTTGCTATGTTGCCGAAGCTGTCCTCCACCTTGCCGTCTTGCCTCAGCCTTCTGAGTAGCTGAATTTATAGGGGTGTACCACTGTGCTCCCCAGCTTTCCTTTCTTTTTTTGATGTTAGAGGCTTCTTTTGCCTCCTTTATTTGAGTTATAACTTGTATTTTGCAAGCTATAGGTAGCAAACATGTATCTTCAATCCATCATCTGCTATTAAAAGTCCTTTTTATTCATAAAATTCATAATAAATATGAATTGTAATTTGAATACATATGAATATGAAAATGAATATGAATTTGAATACAAATTCATATGAAATATGAATTTGAATACAAATTCATATGAAATATGAATTTGTAATTTCTGAATATGTAATTTACCTATTCTGTTTATCTTGGGGGCTGCAGCATCTGTTTAAGCATTGCTTAATTAATAAATGATTCAATAAAATAAGGTGAAGGAATTAGAGAAATGACATCAGGAATAAAGATATGATAGCATGGAAACAAGAGCAAGAATAGACAAATGGAGTTATGTTAAACTAAACAGTTTTTGAGCACATGTTATGGCTTCTGTCTTGATGTCCCCCAAAGCTTCAAGTGGTCATGGGTGGGGCTTTTCAGAGATGCTGGATCTAAAGTGTGAGATGCTGGGATTAAGGGTGTGTGATTACTAAACCAGTCTACTGATTGGTTTGGCATAGTTCTGGGTGTAGACAATGGGAAGGCCCTCCCTGTGTGAGAGCTGCCTACCCTAAGGGTGGGGTAGCCTGGGTAGAATATAAGGAACAGAAAGAGGGCTGCTGTTGTTGATTGCTGCTGGCCATTTGCTGCTTGTTGCTTGTGCTGTCTTCTGCCTGCCATAAACTGTTTCTTCACTGCAGTACCCCTCTGCCATGCCACCTTGCCTTGGAGCCAGCCAACCATGAACTGCAGTGTCTATAAACTATGAGCCTTTCCTCTTTTAACTTTGGGTGTTGCAACATAAGCCTGTAATCCCTGCTCTTGGGAGGCTGAGGCAGGAGGATCACTATGAATCTGGGGCCAGCCTGGACTACAAAGTGAATTCATGGCCAGCCTGCACTGCATAGTGAGATCTTGTCTCAAAAACAAAAACAGAAACAAAAAACGAGATATTTTGTCTCAGCAGTGAGAAAAGTAACTAAAACAACAAATGAAACAATCAACAGGTTGAAGAGACAACCTACAGAATGGGAGAAAACATTTGCAAAATACACATCTGGCAAGGGATTAATTTCAAGAACTGATAAGGAACTCCAAAAACTCAATGGCCAAAAGGCAATGCAATTTGAAAATTGAGAAATAGACCTAAGTAGAGATTTCATGTACAAATGGCCAGCAGGTGTATGAAAAAGTGCTCATCACACATGATCAGGGAAATGCGAATCAAAATCACAGTGAGCTTCACTTCACCAAAGTGAGAGTGGCTGTTACCAAAAAGACTAAAGATAAGTGCTGGCAAGGACATGAAGTGAAGAGAATGCGACACTTGCACGTTGTCGGTGGGAATATAAGTTCAAGCATTATGTGAAAACAGTATGGATCCACCGGGCATGGTGGCACACGCCTGTAATCCCAGCACTTGGGAGGCTGAGGCAGGAGAATCACTGTGAGTTCAAGGCCAGCCTGGACTGCATTGAGAGACCCTGTCTCAAAAAGACAAAAAGACCAAAAACAAGCATACAAAGAAACCAGTATGGAGGTCTCTAAAAAAATTAAAAATTGATATGATCTAGCAATCCCACTACTCAGTGTCTATCCAAAGCAAATGAAATCAGTATGTCAGAATGACATCTGTCCTCCCGTGTTCACTGCAGCACTGTTCCCAAAAGCCAAGAAATGGAAGCAATTGAAGTGTCAGCAGATAAGTGGATAAAGAACATGTACATATACACAATGGAATACTGTTCAACCATAAAAAGAACAGAGTCTTGTCATTGGTAACACATGGATGGGATGAGAAATCATTATGGTAAATGAAATATGCCAGGCACAGAAAGACAGCACATGATCTTTTATAGAATTGATCTCATAGAAGTTGAGAGCAGGATGGTGGTTACCAGAGGCAGTAGATAGTAGGCAGGGTGGAAGGACAGGAAAAGGTTGACCAGTGGGTGCTACATTACAGTTAGAAAGGAGTATGACATTCTGGTGTGCTATTGCATGATAGGTGACTGTAGGTCACAATAATGTATGTCTCAAAGCTCGAAAGGATTTTAAATGTTTTCATACAAAGAAATGATAAATGTTTGAGGAAATAGATAGCTTTTAACCTGATATAAACATTACACAGTGTATATAAGTATCAAAACATCGCACAAACCCTAATATGAACAGTTTTATGTTTTTAATGTAGCAGTTAAAAATAAATTTAAATTAGTTTAAATAAGATAAAAAGATGATGGCTTGGTTTTTTAAAAAAATAACAGTTTACTTGAGTAAAAACAAGCTACATAAATGTTAGGACCTTAAAATTAGCAGCAATTTTATGCCTTATTTCTGTGGGTTGTAAGTTAGCATATCCTACCTTTACTCAATGCTACTTATACTTGGGTTTGATAATTCTGTTCTATAAAAGATCTTTATGTTAATGTAATGAATTGCTTAAATATTTTGTCAGCTTTGAAATAGTATTTGGTAAAATATAAAGACTTATGAGATAATTTATTCCCCTAGGACAGAAAAGGGATAAACAAGCCTTTTTAGTCTGCAATAGCAGAATATCTGGTGAATTTAAAATCCTTAATTATTACGCTTCAAGCAAAAACTTAATTTGCTTCAGTCTGATTCTTAGCTTTCAAGTGGAGTTCTTCTTTTGATATATTGTGGGTTTGGTTTGTTTTTTGTGTTTTGGTTTTTTTTTTTGCTGCTCATCATTTTGCTGTTGTTCTTTTCCTCATCAAAAAGTATTCCTCACTTCCGTATATTCCCTGTGTGATGTTGATAGGATGGGTGCAGATGCACATTCACTTTTATCTTAAAGTTGGGTGCACTTTTCAGAGAATATGGAGCATGAGTTGTCTAAGGGAATCAATTTTGAGATCTTCAAATTTCCTATGTACTTTTTCCCAGCATTGTTCTGCCTGAGACTATACCTGTTACAGATGCACAGGCTCTGATTTCTCACTTTCTCTCGCCAGTTTCCCCACTCCCACTTTTGTAAAAGAAAGGCGTATTGCTTATCTATCTTACATCTTACAAGAATTCATTGCCCTGGATGAAAAATCCACCACGGTGTCAAAGACAATTGAAAATACTGGTGTCTGTGTTGAGACAGGGAATGAATAATATA